TATTTTTACATACCACTCTTTAAAAAACAGAATGTGTAAGGACAGAAAACATGTCGTGCTCTACTTTTTCTAAAGTTGTTAAGTATTTTTAATACTTTATTTAAATGTCACTTAGGTGACAGTAGAGTAAATGAACTTGAAAAAAGCTCAACGTAAAGCTTCACGAAGGGCAACTAGCCCAGACTTTCAAAAAGTCTGGGTAAAACTACCCACCTGACTAGGTAGTTATATCAAGTGTAATAAATTTAAGTTTTTCTTTTATATCATTTTCATGACGAGATTTCTATGCATTTTTAATCATTTTCATTAGATGACTTTCATGTAAAATTAATCAATTCCATCAATTAAAATTGTAATTTTAATCGATGAATTTAAAAATACATTAAAGAATATGTCTGTTTCATCATCAAAAATGGCATTTTTTTCATTTCGCTACATCATTTTTCTCTGGAAAAAATCTCATTAAAATGATGTAAATTACATCATTTTTTGCCAGTTTTTAAGTCACTGAAAACTCTATAAAATACAACAATTATTGTTCTCTTATTATTAAATTTATTTTCATCGATTTTTTTCGTCGAGCGGTACTATGACCATGCTTTTCATTCATATGTAAATATCGGTGTATATTTTCTTATAGTAACAATATACAACGTGAAGGAAAGCAAAAAAGAAGAGGCAGAAAAAAACGAAATACACAAAAAGATAAGCATATTGATAAAAAAAATATCTACCTGATGAAAATTTCACGCTTCATTCACTCACGTAAACATAGGTAAGTGGAAAAAAAACCAAGTGATTTCGTCGACAATAAATACGAAGCAAAATTGGTTACAAACACACAAAACAAACTCGCACACTCCAGTATCACTTCATAGGTAATAAAGTATGTTTAATTTTCAACAGAATTAGGCTAGTGATAAAATTAAAGTTGAAAGTCAAGAGTAACCACTAACAACAAAACATGACAGGACATAGATATAAAGCGTTTCAATAACTAGAAAGTAATTTCAAGAAAGTTTGATTGAAGGTACTGATCATATGCAATCTATACTCTTCATTGCAACAGCTCTTTCAAGTAAAATAGTCCAACAACAAACCATCCCAAACAGAGGGACTTTTAAAATGCTTAGATTTCACTGAGAATTATCGTGATAGACGACACGGATCTCATTTTTAAATGGCTAACAAAGCAGCGAATTCAAGAACTTTCAATAGAACTTTTTATTAATGTAGAATAGGGATGCAACGGTGATGATAACTGGCCCTAATCGATAACTGTTCCACCGGTGGCCGGCCTAATCGGTAACTGTCTCTACCGGCTTATACCGGCCTATGCCGGCTACTAGTGAAACGGTTACCGGTAATCAACAGTGCAACGCCGATGGCAAAGCAGTGATGTGGATGTGAGTATGTGGATCTGCATGTGGGTGGTCAATCTGGGTGTAGATCTGGATGATCCAATGCTTTTCTATGACACTCATACCCACTCCACACTCACACCCAAATCGTTTTTGACTTGAGACTATGTTCCTTTGATGAGTACAGACGAGCGTTGAAAAAATTCTGGAGTGATTTGTTTTTTGAGACCTTCGTTCTTACGATACCGAATTTTTACTAAGTTTTTCAACAGAACTCTGTATTCCTTCTCAGCTCACGTTCAAAACTAACTTTTGAGTTTTGATTTGAAGCTTTGTACAACTAATACTCTTGATAGAGCGAGTTCATTTTGAAAGTTTCAGCTTTCTTTGTTGCTTCTATCATGAGATACAAATACGAGGATACAATGTACTTTTTCACATAAAAAAGAATTTTTCGATGTTTATATATCAGAACAATAGTAATAGAAAAGGCTGCAGTATTGAGAATGAACTAGTTTTATCGAGAGTATTAGTTCTACAAAATTTCAAGTCAAAACTCAAACTACAGAGTTTTGTTGAAAAATTTAATAGAAAATCCTTTTTTCGGAGATCTAACGAGTAAAAGAAGCAAGACAATCATCCTCAAGCACACAGCATTAATGCACAAAATAATAAGTAATTAGCTACATTAATTATAGAGATTTCTTCTGACACTCTTGTCCTGTCTACTGTGGGAGGTCTTAGTTTCGTCTTCTCGCTTTCAAAACTCTGCTACTTGTACTAAGAATAAGTTCACTTGTGGTATAACTAGCCAGAAATCTGGATTGCCTTTTTCCAAAACAGTAGGCTGCGGAGAATCCAAAAAGCCTTCGTCTCACTAGTCCAATACTACGATTTCTTTTTAGGAAAAATTTATTTCGCTTTTACACAAACACCGTCTTCTTCTTTTAAATCAACAAAGATACTAGAAATCTCTTCAAAGTTGTTTGTTAAAAACTCAGCAATATGAATAATAGTCTGTACCATTGTACATTCATGTTTCTCACCCTAACTCTACTCTGTAGGGTAGGATACAGTTACACAGAAGTTATCTGCTAGGATTGAATATTATGTTAAACATGTTTCACTCGAGAAAAAAAACAGCGAATTTGAATTGTTCGAAAAATTTGACAATACCCATGTCGTCTAGAACGGCTCGAAAGCGGCAAAAAACGACTGCCGTCACGATGATCGTTTACGATGTGCCGTAAAACGGAGGAAAACGGCAAAAAACGATATCCACTACGATGGTCATTTACGTACCAGCGGAAACGGCTGTCGTTACGATCTCTGCTTTTTCGCCGTTTCACACTGTTTTTCATCGTATAAACATAAGGGTCCTCAAATCATTATCAGACACTCTCTGACAAAATATAATTGATTGCTCACTGTTTGTTAAAAAAATTGATACTATTTTTCATCCTGATTGCTTTCACCATCTAATTCAATAGCAAGTATTTTAACTAAATAAATATGTTTATTTATTTTTATTTCGATCTATCCTAATCAAATATCCAATAATGAGTATTTTATTTAAATAAGTTTACTTTTTTTTTATTTAGAAAATAGATCAAGAAAATATTTAAAGGCAGGTATTTTATTTAAAAAGAAAAATTTATTTTTTTGTATTTAGAATTTAAACCAATAAAATAATTCACAACTACTGTCCGTTTCAAAATATAGTGCGCGCCACTGTTTTTATAAATAACTCAAGAACGCAACGAGCTAGAGACCTGTGGTTTTCACCAAACGATAGATGAGACAGGTGGGCGTCTTTTTCTCAGATAATGTGTCGGGCGAAATCCTTTTAAAACTACTTGTCTTTGAAAAACATGGAAAAGAATGCATGAAAATGACCTGCCAGCCACATGAAATTTTGATTTTGACCTTTGATTTAGATTGAGGAACTTGAGATCTATATATTAAGATACAATGGGCTTTCTTACTTTTCCTTACGTTTTCATCGAAATATCCAGCTATTATGATAAAAATGCAAAAACATAGTAAAAAAATCAGCAAAATTCCCTATTATTTGCGCCTGTAAATACATGGTTCTATTTGATCAACGTTAGAATGCAATAAGAAAAGTATTTCCATTGTATCTTGAACTGTAGATTTCAAGTTCTTCTATCTAAATCAAGGGTCAAACTGAAAATTTCATCTGGGTGGCAGGTCATTTTCATGCATTCTTTTCCATGTTTTTCAAAGACAAGTAGTTTTAAAAGGATTTCTTCTGACACATTATCTGAGAAAAAAAGGCCCCTCTGTCTCAACTCTCGATTGGTGAAAATCGCAGGTCTCTAGCTCGTTGCGTTCTTGAGTTATTTATAAAACAGTGGCGCGCACTATATTTTGAAACGGACAGTAGTAGTTTGTTCAAATAGAAAATTTTTTTAAAAATTTAAATCGCTAAAATATTTGAAGGCAAGTAATTTATTTAAATAGAAAAAATAATTTTTTTATTTACAAACTAAATCAATAAAATAATTCATAACAACCGTTTTAGTTCAATAGAAAAAGTTTTTTTTTAAGTTAAATCAATAAAATATTTGAAGACAAGTAATTTATTTAAATAGAACAATTTTATTTTTTTTTTTAAAATTTAAATTGACAAAATAACTCACAACAACTATTTTGTTTGAATAGAAAAAAATTTTTTTTTTAAATTTAAATCAATAAAATATCTGAAAGCGAGTAATTTATTTAAATAGAAAAATTTGTTTTTTTTATTTAGAACTTGAATCAATGAAATATTCTAAGACAAGTATTTTATTTAAATAAATAAATTTATCCTTTTTATTTAGAATTGAAATCAATAAAATACTTAACAGTTAGTATTTTATTTAAATATATTTGTTTATTTTTCGTTAGATTTGTCTCAGTGGAATATTTATCATTGATTGTTTTAAATAAATATATTTATTTTGTTTTATTTAGAACTTGTCTCAGTGCATTGTTCAAAGTAAGTATTTTGTTTAGATAAACAAATTTTATTCGTTGTCTATAGGGAAGGCGGGTAGAGGAGAAAATCGTCCTGAAGCAGCATATAAATAGAGTCGTAAACGAGGGAAAATGGTGTAAATAACTCATAGTACGGCAAGAATGCGGCCCTGGTACTGCTCATCGTTAATCGCTGGAAAGGGCCTAAAACGGGGCCGTTCATGTTCCGGGGAAAAACGGCCCTCAATCCGAGCTGACGGAAAACGGTGATCGTTTTTCATCGTTTAGGGCAATAATTACCCCGTTTTTTCACCGTTTTAGGCATATTAACACGTCATTTCAAACGGTCTGAATGATGGACCTGGATATTTGAAATTTTCGAGAAACTTAAAATGACTTGAAATGAATTGAGAAGAGTTCATGCAACTTCAATTAAGTTAAATGAATTTATTGAGATTTTCAAAGAGTTCTCTGTAGTTCGAGAGACTTCAAAAGATTTTACGGAACTTCTACACGTAATAAAACTTCAAGGCTGAAGTTTCTTCTATTTTTTAAAGAGATGTTGATATCTGTTTTCTATTTTTTACATTTTCAGATAATAAAACAGGTGATAGAAAACATACTTGTCACATTGAAAATAAGAGAAGATAATTGATAATAATGGGTTGTACACTGCAAAGAGGTTCAAAAGAAAATTTAAAAGGTGTTGAATGGATGTGGCAATCAAACCAAAATCCATGGACAAAATCAGAACCTGCCGAATGGAGTCATTTTTCAGATCTGGAAAATCTAATTATTGAAGATGCATTCACAGATAAAAAACCAAGAGTCCTTTTAGATGATTATTACGTTGATTTTCAAAATTATCTTCAAGTATTCAACACTGATAATCAAAAACAAAGACTTGTTAAACGAGTCGAAAGTAAGCGAGAATATAGACCTTTAACAGAAGCACGTCTTACGGATCTTCCTACTACTTCGACACGTTCGTTCGGCGGTCAATATGGTTGGATATCACCGTTTGTAGTTGAAGTTCGAAGAGATTTGGATCTTAAACATGATGAATTACCTTCGAGAGACTCAAATATGATTCCAATGCTTGTTGAAAAAGCTGCTTGTGGTATAATTGAAGAAGGAAAATATCTTGGAAAAGAACGAGAAGCTGAAAAAATGGCTAATATGCTCAGAGAAAAAAAGAACGAAAACATAAAAGAAGTATGGAAATGTTGTGCTTATCTTTATACTTTGGAAAGTTTTCTTTACGGAAGTTTAAATGCAGCTATGAGATTAGTAGGAGACAAAGATCAGGAAGATGTATGGAGACGTAAAATTCGTACATTGGGTCCATTTTGTTTACTACTTTGGGATGATCCAATTAATATAAAAGTGAAATCTGGTACGACACTTTACCGAGGAGCTGAATTGAACCCTAAACAAATCGCTGCCTATGAAGAAATGGTCAAGAATCACGACGAAAGTCGATCATTTCAAGCTTTTTCATCGTGCAGTCGAAATCGTCAACAATCAGAAAAATTCGGTAATACTTTATTCATCATGAAAGTATGCGGTGCTTTTACTGCTGATCTTTGTGGATTATCTGAATATTCTAATGAAGAAGAAGAACTTATTACACCAGGTGTTTGTTTCTTTGTTACAAAAATTAAATTTGATCGCAAGAAAAAAAAACATTTGATTCACTTATCCCTTTTTCAAAGCTCGTCTGGTAAGTTGAAAAAAGCTTATTCTAAGGTCTTTTAAAATATAAAAAAATACTTAGGGCATACCAAAAGTAAGGGTGTTGACACTTTAATACCGTATAATAAGTTTTAAGAAATTTTTCTATATATAGTCTGATAGAGAAAAAAATTCTCTATTTTTCTATGCTATTTGATCATACTTCAACTAATATCATAATAATATAATTTCAATAAAATCTGTTTTTCTATCATATGTGACGGTTATACTAATTCGAGTGTATATTTTTTGAATAACTTTTGATAACAATAAGATATAGAGGTGCGGTTTTCACCGTTGGAAAGCAGAGATGAAGACACATTAAATTGCATATTATATATATTTTCCTAGACGTCATCGGAAATTTCTTCAATCCATTTTCTAAGTATGCAAAAAAAAAGGTTTTTTATTTCTTCACAGAAATTCCTAGAAAAATCACTTAGAGCTTCGACTAGAACATCTATAACTCCTGAATGATTAATTGAAAATATCTGAAACTTCTTCAGTTTTGTAAGTCTTCCATCGACGGTTTGAATACACACCTGACAATTGAGAATTTGCTGTAAACACCTTATGGAGTAGGTTTGTTTTCAAAGAAGTCGATTGAAAACCTTTGAAAAAGCCCTGTTCACAAACCAATAATAAAATCGATGCATCTTCATTTCCTCTTTCGAACAGTGAAAACCGTAGCTCTCTATCTTACGGTTATCAAAAGTTATTCAAAAAATATACACTCGAATTAGTATAACCGTCACATATGATAGAAAAACAGATCTTATTGAAATTATATTATTATGATATTAGTTGAAGTATGATCAAATAGCATAGAAAAATAGAGAATTTTTTTCTCTATCAGACTATATATAGAAAAATTTCTTAAAGATTATTATACGATATTAACGTGTCAACACCCTTACTTTTGGTATGCCCTATGTATTTGTTTTGAATATTTTAATTCTCATTTTATGTCCTATTAAGATTAGATGATTTAAAGACATTATAAATTTGTTAAATATATTGATAGAAGTTGTAAATCATCATCAGAAATAAATAGTTTTAGTCGAAATTCGAAATATATTCTCACTGTAAAAAGAAATACTCTTAATGTACTTAGAATTTTCTAATACATGCTGTATGGATATTTTAGTTTTTATTTAAATGCAAGAAAATAAATCGAGTGAAATGAAAATATGATCATAAAGATATTTCTGCGCAGTTATTTCTGTTCACTATCATAAAAATTTTGGGTTTTTTAAAGTTTCTATCACTATAAAAATATCTCTTTAGATAAGTAAATATATATTTTAATAGGAATCTTGAAAATTTTCAATGTTTTCTAAATGTTTTTTTTTCTTCGTTGGATTCATTTACTGGAGAATAATTCAATTATTACATAAGTTTTCTCTTTGACAAGTTCTAAAATAAAAAAGATTTTATTTTATTTTTTCATTTCCAAACTAAAGATAGTTGAATATGTAAAATATACAATTACACAATATTATGAATTGTTCCGAAAACTTCTTTCAATGTTCATCTGAAAGTTCAAAAAAAAGAAATGTTACTAAAAATTCAAAGGACAAGTGGCGGTAAGGCCATTTTTCGATCCTCGTATTTTTGATAAAAACCACTTGTACATAGCAAGTCGACTATGGAGAACACGTTTTATGACTCAGTTTTGAAAAAGCGGACCAACCGGATTTTCGGACCCTGGCCCCTCCCCCCTCAAGTATTGCTCGGCAACTTTTTGTCTTGGTTCATTTGAAAGGGCACACCATTCGATGCAGAATTTCACGCTGATCACGAATATCACTTTCACATTTTGAAAAACTCAAATTTGGTCGAATAAATCGAGTTTTACTGCCAGAATTGGATTTCCTCTGAAATTGAGTTTTGACGCCTAATCGATGATAAAAGTAAGGCTGAAATACTTAAAAATATGTTTATATATATGGAAATTGATGATCCTTTAGAAATATGCAAAATAACAATCCTTAAAGCTTGAATTTAGATTTATAGGAACTCTAAACGAGCAGTTTATCACTCAATCACTGTTTTCTTGCACATTGACAGCTTTGCTTCTCGATAATTCAGTCTCTATCCAATGTGATTTATACATGCTTAGATGCAGTTTTTCATCCTGATTCAGAAAATGAATTCAAAATTGAGAAAAAATGTGCAGAAAAACCTTATATTGGCTAAAAATCTCGAAAAAGTCATTTTTTGGCTCGTATTTCAAAGATTATATCCTTAAAAAAGATTCAAATTTCAATTTTAACATCATATTTCGAATCAGCGACTAAAATTGAGTCTAATA